GTGTGGTAATTAATGTAAGACAATTAATAGAAGAATGAAAAGTTTATTAAATCAGTTAATTAAGTTTTATTGTAGTTAATTTTTTTTAAATGATGTGAAAAGTTTAAAGTGATAATGTGGACAAATTAAGAGGAGAGAAAACTCTCCTATTATATAATAGATCGTAATTCATAAAAAATCTGGGGCTTATAAAAAACATACAAAATCTTGGAAACATCTGCATTATTACAAGCTGTAAGAAATCTTGAATTTGCATCAAACACATATCTATACACATGTATATCAAGAAAAAAAACTCTAACTTGAAACATACCAAAAGAGTTTAGTAACTACGAATAAACACAAAGCATTTCTTCTAAAACATCATCAAAAATCAGATCTTCAAGCTCAAGAGTTAGCCATTCAGATTCAGCTCGTAAACTCATCCATCCATCACGCTTAGCAAGAAGATCTCTTCCCACAATATCATCCAATGAACGATCTCTAATCTCAGCTCCTAAACCAGAGAGGCTCCATTCGACTCTTTCCCAAACCTCATCAAGAAAACGTTTCCCATTTGGATATGCAAAACTAAATGTTTTAGGGAAATAGATTTCTGATTGATTGTGAGTCTCGGTGATCGCCTCGTTAACCAAATCAAAGAGAAGCTCTTTGTTCACTTCTTCTTCTTGAATGTCGAGTTCGTAGAGCAGTGATGGATTGAGTGGTTGTTCCTCCGAGTGCCATTTTTCTCCGTTGGGTTCGTTTTCGAGGAAGCCTGAAATCTCTAGAACCTTTTTCACGTAACAGAAGTAGGCATCTTCATGGTTGGAAATCTCTAAACAAGTTAGACCTAAACCTGTAGAACAAGCATCCATAGAATTGAGATTTGCATATCTTGATTGAAAGATGAAGCTATGCTTAGTTATATTGTTGAAGAGCTTACCTTGTGAGAGTAAAGTCTCTGTCTTTTGTGCAGTATCGTCCGAAGAATCACTATACGGAGCTGAACCAGGATCTTGGTTTGGTATGTCTAAGTGATCTTCATGGCTTCTCTCCTCTTGCTTCTCATCTTTTCCTTCTTCGTGCTCTGTTCTTACCGGAGTTTCGGACATCAATGAAGATTTCTTGGATCCAAACTCAGTATCTTGATCTACAGATTTCCTAGTAGAACTGTCTCGGGGCTGTTCGGTCAGAAATGAACCAAGAACTTCAAGGCTTGACAAGGACGAAATCCGTCTGAAGAATTGCGGTTTATTGTTATAATCTCTCGAATCGCTCTTTTTCTCTTCATATGAAGGTTTTAAGCTCTTAGAACGCAATTCACCGCCTTCTCTTCTAAAACTATGCTCCAAGAGATGAGAATATCTCCCCAAAGAATCATCTTTCGACACAACCGAATACTTCTTCTGCTGCTTCGCGTGCTTTCGATCTTTAAGTGCCTTCTTGAGCAACTTCTTGATTTCTCTAAATCCATTTATCAACGCGTGATTAAATCCATGATCATCAGGTGAGCCATGAGAAGGTTTGTGTTCTTGAGAAGAAGAAGTGTCTCTTGGAACATTCAAAGTCAAAACAGAACCGTTCTGCTTTGGAGCATACCAATTCTCTTTCTGCTTGTGTTCGATCCTCGCAGGACTTGAAGAACGCGAGAGAGGAAACGAGCCTGACTTAGGCAAAACTCTACGATTAGACTTCTTGATCTGCACTTGCTTCGGAAACTCCGAATTCGGATGTTTCAGAATCTTGACAAAAACATCTTCTTTTCTCAAGGTTTCAAGAAAATCAACATACTCTGTTACTTGCTTAGTCGTCATCATCTTCTTCACCTTTGTTTCTTGTCTCGTTGGCTTGTCCTCTGCGATAACACTACTAAACATCTTTGAATCTTCAAGAAACGGTTCTTGTTCATCGGTTTCACGCACCAAGGAATGGGTTCTTGGTGTCTTCCAACCTTTGAAAACAGAGTAAGCCATCATCATTCAACAAAATTTATTTTCCTTTTAAAAGTAAAAAAACTACTTGAAAACATAATTAAAAAGACTGTGCTTACAAATTGGACGGTTCTTGGTTCTCCAATGGTGAAAGTCAAGCACATGAAGCATTCCAGCTAACCAGCCTGATTTGTGATCATATTTACCATGTCTTGGACTCGAATTCTCGGTTTTCAAATGCTTCCCCATTTCGATATCTACGGAAATAAATTCAAATAAATTACGTTTTTTGAGCATCAAGACAGAGTCTAAACAACAGTGACGTGTTAAAAAAAAAAAGAAACACAAAATTAGTTAGACCAGACTTAGTAGCTTGCCTGAAATCGTCAAAATCCAATCAAAGAAACAAATTCAATTTCTAGTTTCATATTCGATGAACCAAAAGCAAAAACCAAAAGTGATAGTTGTGGAGGAAGCTGACCTGATCAAGAAGAAGAAGGAAGTAATTCAGCAACCAATAAACATCATATTATCTAATTCAAGTGTTATTGTCT